GATGGTCCAAATTCTATTTGAAGTTCCATTTTGAACTATTGTTGAACTGATATCTTAAAAAATCAGAATTTATGCAAGTCAGGTATTCATGATGCCTGGGATTTTGGGGGAGTGGTTAAATAAAATGTATATTAATCTAATCTATTCCAGTCATTCTGCTATTAACATAGAGTATTTGACTTCTCCAACACCAAATTATATTAGAATAGGTTTTTGCTAACGTTTTTTTAAACTATATTTCCAGAATTCACAATCCATTATTAGGTGTGATTGGTATGCGAGTATGGGCCCTCACCCCTTAGTTGCAGCCCAATACCAGATTACAGCCCATTAGGAACCAGGCTGCCAAAGTGGCAGGTGAGTACACAAAGCTTCATTTGCACATGCATTGGATTTAGGTGTGTGTGTGTGAAGCCATTCACCCCCACCCCACCCCACACCACCACTGGTCCACGGAAACCAAACCCTTGCCTTAGAGCACTAACTCACATATTGGTTTGGAATGCCAGTTCTGAACTGAGCTTGCAATTCTTTTCTATGTTTAAAGGCTCATTTTGCTGATCCTTTGTTTAAACAAGTGTTAAAACAAATGAACAAGTGTTAAAACAAGTCAGAAACAGAATGTTTCAGAACTTTCAGAAGTCTGCTTATATTTACATGTCCCTAGTCTGCTAAATTGCTTTAAATGCATTTTGTTCCATGATCAAAAAGCTGTGACACTTTTGTCACAAATAAAGCATGAACAATCGTTCTGGTGCTCTTGGGATATTTTCAACGTATCTGGAAGGGAGTGGGGTGATGGAAGAAGGACCATCATGGGTATATTGCATTCGTACATCATGGCCAGTGCTCGTTGTAATAAATAAGGGTGCTATTATATATTTTTTTCTTTTCTGTTGGGAGATTGTTATTGTGCCTTTAACGATTTAAACTTTTTTGTTTTTAACTTCAGCATGGTGAGAACTGCACCATTGATGTTCATCAATCGTACTGCTTCCACGTTGAAACAATTGGAAGGAATTCCAGAGTTAGGGGCTGATTATGAATTAAATGTATTACCATATTTCTAGACCACTCAACCCTTGTAAATGCTCTGCCAACCCAACCTCTGGGTAGGTTTGCAGAGCATATGCAAAACAATGCTCTGAATTCAAAGTGCTGCACAGTTTTGTTGCATCTTTGTGCTAAATGAAACATCTAAGACAGGGATGTCAAACTCGAGGCCCGTGGGCTTGACCTGGCCTGCAGGGTACTTAGATCGGGCCTGCAGGGCTGCCCTTGAAACAGCAAAGGACCAGCCCGCGGTGCCTCTGCCAGCAAAAACAGAGCTTGGGAGGGTCGCTTCATTTTCTCTGGCAGAGCACTTGAGCAATCAGAAGTGCCCCCAACATGCAATGTCGAGCTGGCCATGCCCCCCCCAGACTCCCCCCCCCGAGGTCAAACACAATCCTGATGCAAATGAAATTGAGTTTGATACCCCTGATCTAAGATAGTCCTCCCTAATTTGATGCTCCCTAGATGTGAGGAAATTACAGTAGCTCTTAATACTGCCAACTAGCGCAAGCAGGCTTATCTGAAAATTCAGTGAGGTATAGTCTCATCATATCTAGAAGATATCTTGCTGGAAGAGACTCGTTTAAGCAAACAAACAGCAACATGAATGATTTCCCCTTTCATTGTTGGAAGTACACATTCAGCAAGGTTGATAATACTGGACAAGATGGTGCCTGTTTTTTTCCCTGTTTTTTTTTCCTAACGTGATTCTGTTCAAAGCAAGTAGTGTTGTGCAGTTCTTTGGATTAAGTTTAGAAAAGGTGGTTTGAATGTACGGGTGCATCAATGCAGCATCTCTTGGTAATGCATGAAATCAGATGCTTCAGTTTCCAGGATCCCATAGCTCCACACTTTTCAAAGCATTCCTCCTGAATGGAATTGAGAATAACACACAATCCAAATAGTAAGCAACCCACACAAATGTCTTGTTGAAATGTGTTACGATATGCTGTCCTCCAATAATTACACATAGAAATGTTTGATGGCTTGTTAAGTGGAAATGGTTAGACTTCCCAGTCAGTTTCAATACTGGAAATCTAGCAGAGAACAAACCTGTAATTACAAAATAGTAAATCACATTACAAAAAAAAAAAACACACAGATAAAAAAGCAGTGCTGGTCACCTTAAGAAAGAAAAAAGAACCCAAATCCATTGTGGGTAAGATATTTATTAAGATTAAATAAAATTAACACAAATATTTTTGCAAGCTTTCACGTACTCCAGAATTCTTCATCAGGTGATGTGCAAAAAGCAAAACATTTAAGAAGAAAAATTGGCATCTTATTGCATAAAGAATTATTACATTCCTCTTTAAATGGCTGTAGTTTATCACTTTGACCTTAAGATGTCCTTATAGCTCTTATATGGCTTCTATGTATTATAAGTACCAGAAATTTATATTTAACTGTAGGAACATTGAACAAAAATCACCTGTAAAAACTATTGCAGTAAAAGCGTGTTTCCAGATGGACAAGTCAAAAGGCACCGAATAATCAATCCATTCTTCCTTAACAAATTTATGTGTGTGTGTGTGTGTTAAGAGAACAGCTAAAAGAAATGGTAAAATTAAATTACAAGTGGAAAATGATGACATCTGGATGGCCTATAAAGTTCCACCACGGAGGGAAGGTTGCTGTGTGCTAACAGCCTTGCCTGGAAACATCAGAAGAGCTTTGGGAAGACTTTAAAGACCAACAAAAGAATCAAGATGTTACTCTGGGGTAAGGAAGATCTAGGTTCAAGTCTACCATCGATCATGTAAGATTTAGGCCCCTCATCCTCTTTCAGCCCAACCTACCTACAGAGTTGAAGGGAGGGAAGGGGAAAGGAAAGTAGGCTAGGCATACCAAATTGGAGTTGCAGTAATTTATAAGACCACTGGATGGTAGCAAAGAGACATACAATTGTGACTTTGAATTTTGACATGGCTATGGAGTGCCTAATGTACCCTACCTTGAGCTCCTGCAGGAAAAGGTGGATATAACTTAACACATAATTTTAATAAGTAAGAAAGCTGATGCAATGCTCAGAAAAGAAAGGCCAAGGCTTGCAAGAAACCCTGAAATGTATAGTTTCTCTTCACTTCTAACACAAATGGATATGTTAGGTCTTAGTGCAACTAAGGGAAGAAGTCTGGACTTTGGGGCTCCATCCATTGGCCAGCTGCAAAGATGGGATAAATTGCTTTTTTGACCCCTTCCTTTCTAAGCATCAATCTACTGCTAGATGCCAAAAACAACAACAAGTGACATTTGATAGATTGGCCTCCCTAGTGTGTGTGTGTGTGTTGTGTATATGTCCTGATGTAGAATATTACTAGCAGCAGAGACCCTGTATGGAGAATATCTTGTCCTCCTGGACACAGCCCTACATTTTCCTGATGAGTTTCCATAAGCTTGTGAAAACCTTGTGGGACAGCACATTTGGGGTGGGGGTGGGGATTAGGTTTGGTCTGTCACTGGTGGATAGCAATAGCCCTTAGATTTATATACTGCTTCACAATGCTTTACAGCCCCCTCTAAGCGGTTTACAGAGTCAGCATATTGCTCCCAACAATCTGGGTCCTCATTTTACCCACCTTGGAAGGATGGGAGGCTGAACCAACCTGGAGCCTGGTGAGATTTGAACTGCCAAATTGCAGGCAGCCGGCAGGCAGCAGAATTAGCCTGCAGTACTGCACTCTAACCACTGCACCACCGTGGCTCTACTATGGCTGATGCCATCATTCATTTCTAAACTTTGCTTATCCTACACACTTCTTAGAGGCAGTTGGAATGAAGAGTACAGAAATCTTAGCAACAAAATAAATAATGCCATCCCCTATGCACATTCAAGATTTGGTTGCCTTCACAGGACATGCTTGCCTCAAGTTAGCCATGATTTATTCAACCTAATTAGAAATGGAACTCTAAAATCTCATGCAAGGTTGGCACAACTTGCTAAATTAGTTTTCAGTTCAGGAGTTCAGTTCATCCCATAAATATAACCAGTAAATTTCTCTGAGCTTTTACAATTTCTTTCAGAATAAACACGTGAGTGCTATCACCACAAAATGTGGCACTTTTTTTTTTTTTGCATTTTAATTACCTCTTTTTCATTATGCAGCAACGTGCAGATGTATTTGCAGTAGAACTGCAGGTTTTAAATTTGAATGGTTTGTTGTTTGAAACATTTTACTTGCAGAACAAATAATGGATTCACATGAAGAAATAGGGCATTTTCTTCAGTCTAGAAATATTTCAGGGTTGAACCACTTCCAAAATGATTGAAACAGCCACCCCAAACATCCCACTTGAAATGGGTATTTTAAACTTCACAGATGCATCTCCCATCTAAATCAGTTAGTGAAATTGTGGTTAAAGGGACCAGGCTAGAAACTTGAAGATTGAGAATCTGTGTGTTAGGCATTAAGACAACTGAGTGACATTGGGCCTGTCACACATTCTCGGCCTTCTGGAGGAAAAAAAATCATGCCAAGAAAACTGCAGGGACTTGACAAGCCACTTGGAAGGAATCAATACTGGCTCAAAGATATTAAACAAACCCTTATCACTAATTCAATTTTCTAATTCAGTGTAATTCAATGCATATGATAAAAACAGCCTGTTGCTTATGGTACAAAAATACATAGGCCAGAAGAAACTAACCGTTTCTTACAATTCCATGTCATTTTTCTGATAATATTGGTTCAATTACTACTTATTAGCTTCAGCTAAAATATGTACATCAGGACATAACCTGCCTGAACCTCTGAGACCAGTATCTGAAGTTTCACTGTCCCTCCATTAATGTCAAACGTTTGGTGGTAAAGCAACTAGGCCTCATCTTCCATGGTGGCTTTCAATCCGTGGTGGTTCTTGGTGGTTTGTGTATTTTTAGAGAGTCACTTGCTTAACACATTTGTGCCGTTAAAATTATTTGATGTTCCTGATGCAGTTTATATTTATATTCTGCACGTTAACTATTTTCCCTGATTATACTATTTTTATGTCTTATTGCATTTGTAGTCTGTTTTTCTGCTAGGATTTTAAAATGATGAATATGATTCTCTATCCCCCACTCCATTTTTGGAATAACTGATAAGTTACCACTGAAATAAAAAGAAAAATGTTGGATTAAAAAAAAAAAAACCAAATCACAAGCTAGTCATTAAAAAGCAAAATAAATCTGCAATGACCCGGAGCATATATGGGTCCTGCTATTTTTTTTTTCCTATGCCCAGCAGCAAAATCTTTATAGTTGTCTATTCACTTCAGTATGATTTCCCAGGAAGGAAGAGAGAAGAATGCAGTCTATTTCACCAATGGAAATAATTTTGGGTGGATCTGTTCACTTTATCAGAAACATGTGTCCAGAACAAGAATAAATAACAATTTACTAGAAGTAAATATGCCAATGGAATTTTTACCTAAATAACATAATAGTCCTAGCTATGTTTATTTTTTAAAGTAAGTTTAATCACTAGGTAACAATGTTTTCTTCTCATACTTCACTGAATTTCGTATATTGGCACACATTTAGTTTTGTTCCTGATGCTTTGGGGCAATCTTTTGAGAAGATTACTACAACTACCTAGTTCAATTTTTAAATAATACTGATTTTTAACTCATTGGTATTTTAAATCTAATTGATTAGTTGTCACAGCAAGGAATGGGAAAGTTGCAAACCAAAGAACAGATAGCACCACTGGTTACATGTTAGTGTATAGCAATTACATACTTGCAAAGTAAATACCCTTCCCAAGCTGGTGCCTCTCCTATACGCTGGGATCAAACTTGCAGAATTCCCAGCCAACAATAGGCTAACTACATATCCCAGAGATTACAAACTGGATGCAATGGTATGCATGAATGACTTTGGGAGACAAGAGAAAGAGCAGCAGACGAGGCAATAATAGTTAGATAAGAGACAGCTGAATCTGCAGAAGGAATGGGTGTGAGCCAAACATCTCAGAAGGGACTCTCCTTAGTTTCTTGTATTGTAAAGATGAAGGGGGAAAAGAGGTATTTTCAGACTTGCAAGATTCTGTTAATGCAACCTTACAGGTAAGTTAGATCTAGTTCACCTGAGGGTGCTTCTTGTCGGGTCTACTTTGCAAGGCTAACAATTGAAGACAGATTTGAATTTGAATTCAAATTCTGAATGAATCACAAAGTACCTTGGGTAACTTTGAACAATTGCCCCCCCCCCCGTCACGTCATTCCACCCACAAGAGCACCCCATGATGAGTCAAATGGCTCATCTTAAGAAAAAGCTATGGTCAGAGTCTAAGCTACCTAAAATGAAAGCTTGGGTTGGTACTGGGCTGCTGTACATGTGAAATGACTAATTCAAACCTTGAACTACTCAATCTTCTTTTGAGAATTCATTCTAGCCTAATAGAAAGCACGCAGCTATGGGGTGGAGAAAACTGCCACCTTCATACAGCAGGAATCAGCAGAACCAAATTGTGGTGTCTTTCATACGCATCCCCTATATGTACTTCATTCAACACAAGTACATTCAGTGATGTGTTGCATAAATCAAATTATCCAACAGAATCTGTATTAGACTTGAATTCCCCTGATTCCCAGACAGTCTGAACATGTTTAGTGGGGCTTATGGGTGTTAAGAGCCAACACATCCAGAAGGCACCCGGTTCGGGGATGCTTTCATACAATTTACAACCGACTTATATAAATGAAGGGATATGTTTTGGTATACATAGAAATGTAACCATGTAGAGACAAAAATGCCAACTTAAAACAAAGCTGTTCATGTGGATTGAGTTAAATGTAGTCTTCTAGGATTGCCGTTTCAAGTGCAAGCCTTCAATTTTACCAGTTAAATTTCTGTTTCTCTCTCTACTGCCCAATTTCACCTGCGATCTCTGTCTCCCAAGCCACTCCCTGATTTCTACAATAAAATAGATCCTTCTGCTTAGAAAAAGGAGACAGCTATTTTAAGGCAGAAAACATGACTTGACTGAGACAAAATAGCAATGCTCTACAGAAAAGGCACCATTCATGATTAACTCAAGATATGTCTCCTGGGGGAATACTCTTTAAAGGCAAAGCAGGATCTCTGATTGATGCTGTTTTGGCTTTCACAATCCAATGCCCTTCAATGTGCCAGATTCCCATTAGCACCCATAAGTGCTGTCATAGTGGAAAGAGAAGACAGGTCAAACATGTTGGGGGAGGGAGGGGGGTGCCTGTTCGAGAAGAAAAATCCTGTACTCTTCTTAAAACACTATCCAAGACCAATCCAGTTTCATATATAAATATTCCAGTCAAGTGGATACTGCCCAAGCCCACGGTCCTTCCAGTCTTTGGTATCACCTACAAAAATACAGTTCTGTGGGAATCCATTTCTCTCACCCGGATGAGGGTCCACTAATTAAATTGAAGAGCTTGGTGCTGGAGCACTTTGATTAGGCTTACATAAAGCAGGACACCACAACAATTTTTGCACATACCCAATACATAGTCACATGAAAAAAAAGCCAAGGCAAATAATTAAATATTTCTTTTGGTCAAAATTTTCTCACATAGACAAATCTGTAGAGAAAAGTGAGCAATCCACTAAGTATCACTCCAGTGCAAACTGATGGAATCTGCATGGGAGCAGAACTTGATGGGGAAATGCAGAGGGATTTTTTTTCTGAGATAATACGCTTCTCTGAAACACCAGCTGCAAGGATGGTAAAAGAGGGGAAACACAGAAGACTCTTATCTCATAGACAATTGTACCTCACACCAAGTAACTGTTCACAATTAGACACTTCTGACTCATACTCCCCTTTCCTCCCTCAGTCTGGAGAAGACATGTTTGTGGGGATTATAACTGAACACATTAAATGCATGCACATTTTATTATGTCTCCTACTTCCACACAGATTCTCTCACCTCCTGACAAAAAGACATAGTTCCAGTGCTTCCTAGAAACAAATGCTGTTTGGTTAAGAACAGGAGAAAGGATAGACAAACACAGTAGATTCTGTCTACTGAAATAGGAACAAAAGACAAAGAGGACTCTGTGTGCTGATAAAACAAAAACAAAAAAGGTAGACCTGCAAACATCTCATATCCATCTCTGTTGGTTGACAGCAGAAACTATGAGGAAAGGTCATGTCACCAGCCTCATCGTAGATGTAAATAAGAAGGGATGGTGTAATTGAAGAGCAAGTAATCCATCTTGTATAAATTAAATAATCTTCTTTGGTAGAAGGGGCTGATGTTCTTGAAGAACTTTGCAGTCAGGTTATTGTTGGTTCTGGTGGTCTTGGAAGAGGACGGGAACTTGATGCCTGCATCAGCCCCAACCAATTGCAAGATATAGTTGGCATCGTCAGCCAAGGTCTCATACTTGCCAATGATATCATAGTGGACAATGCATGGATGGCAAAGGGAGTGCACTCGCTCCCAATGCTCATTAAAAGGTTCCTCACGTTGGGTCTTTGGATCCAAAAGATAGTACACAAACTCCTCAAAACGCACATCGTGGCCACTTTCCAGGGCTTCACTGCTAGGGTCCTGACGGTGCCGCCGGATTATTTTGGTTCCATAGCGCTTATGGAATGCTGTGTTGTAGCTACGGGTGAATTTGTTCCTGTAGGCTGAGACCAGCCGTTCCAGAGGCTCCCGTACAAAGATGAACTTGAGGTAGTTGCGCAAGCGGTAGTTGATCTCAGGAGTGCTGTACTCGGAGAGAGTGCGGAGGTTGGCTGGTACATGAGCTTCATGTGCTGGGATTTCCAGGGGATCCTGGTACTTGCCGTGCCCTGTCAAGATCATCAGAACCCTCTTCCAATTAGTGCAAGCCACCTTGGGGACATAGCAGTAGAGCAACTCATGGACATCATCCACCACCAGGTGCCGCAAGTCATCTGGAGTTAGGAGGCGTCGCTTGCGGGTGTAACGGTGGCACATACTGCTTAGCAGTTCCCTCCTGTGTTGATGAGTTGCCTGCAGGGAGGACTGCTCAAGCTGAGGAGACATAAGGAGGACATAAGGGGGAACAGGAGTCACTTCATGCTGTCTGCCAAGTTCCTTTTGTTACATCCCAATAATACTCTGCCCTACATGCCACCAGTACCTATACACAGGAGCCGATACCTTTGGACACCTTTAAGATTCATGAGTAGTCTTAACATTAGTTACAATTGCTCCTTAAAGGGCTGCACTTACCCTTTAATAGTGGGGATTTAAAGGTTAACAGAAAGTAAAACTGGGTAAAATTGGGAGCTTTTCAGTTGGAACATGACTATAACTCCGGAATTTCCAAACGAGAAAGTCAAAATCTGAGATTTAGAGCCCACAGACTCTAGGTTATCAGATTGGTAAGGACCAATTTAGAGAGCAGATTATTTAACCAATTTTCTTATTCCCGGTCTCATTTTCAGTCTTAGAAATGCTGTTCAGGAGCAGTGGCAGTGAGAAGGAAAGGTAAGCAGGAGTGGATGTCACAAAATTTAGCAAAGGGTTCTCTGCCAGGTTGCTGGGTGGGCATGGCCATGGTGGGTGTGGCCTAGTCAGCCTCCTGTACCATGGCAGGTGGGGGGGGGGGCATTTTTGCCCTTGCCGGGCTTCTGAGGCTTTCTTTGAGCCTTCTGGGAGGGCGAAAACAGCCTCCCTGGGCTCTGGAGGCTCTCTGGAAGCCAGAAACGGACCCATTTCCGGCCTCCCCAAACTTCCAGGAGACCTGTTTTTGCCCTCCCTGAGCCTCCGTGTGCACCCTGCACTTACCTGCATCCAAAACGGGCCTCATGGGGACCCCTGGAGGGGTGGGCTGGGCCAGCCAGGAGTGGGATTTGGGGATTCTCCGAACTGCACAGAATCTCAGCTAGGGACTCTCCCAAACCCCTGCAAACCCCCAGCAGCCCACCCCTGAAGGTAAGGATCTAAACATGTTCCATTTTATGCTGAACTTAATTGCTTCTATGCTATTTCAATTGAATGTATCTGCCTACATTGAGGAGAGGGGTACAAATCCAAAATGTATTAATCAAAATATATATCCAGAATGGAAATACTCCTATGCCACTTGTCATCAGCTCTTTCAAGGTTTCCCAATAATATCGGTATGTTGTCTGAATGGACTCAGTTGCTTCTTTCCTTTCCTTGATCAACTCTTTTTGTTTTAATCATGTATAGACTGATAGAAATGAATTGTGTTAACAATGCATTCGTTTGGTATGCTGGAGCATCAAAGGCCTGCATCAAATGTCCAGGTGAGTGGTCTTAGCAGAGCAAAATACTCTTGAATCAAAATGCTGTAAAATGTAGGTCTATCTCCACGGTTAGACCTTGGCTATTCAAAGTTTCATTTCATCCCATAATTGGAGACCTTCCCTAGGAGAAAAGGGTGCTGCAGGTCACCAGGGATTGCAGCTTGGCTCTCGAAGATATGACTCACAACAAATACAGGAAATACTTTACTTTCTTGGAATTTATTCTTGATTTCCTATAACTTCTGGCTAATGGTTGATTTAAGTAAAAACAAAAAATCTTCCCGGTCTCTCTGACATTTTGTAGCACGTCACCTAATGAAAAGTCCAGGAAATCCCTGAAACTTCTAGGGTCTTTTGCAACATTTTGGTTCTAGGAAAGATTGTGGACTTCGGGTATCTTTTGAACTTTCCTTATAAAAACATAAAGCAAGCATCTGATTATAGGAGTAAAACATTTTTTCCCTTCCTAATTATAGTTAAAACAAAGTGCTTATTTGCAATTTGACTAAATATATAAAAGCTTTCCTTTCAGCAAGCTGTTTACACCGTCTGTGTTATATTCATAAAGAGAGACAGATGAGCACATTTAGTATGCCATAAACTTCATAAATACCCTTCTTTGGATGCACGCAAGCTAAGTCAGGGGTGGGTGGGCACATTTAAAACACTGAGCACACATGACACGCACTCTCTCATTTAATGACTTTTGGTGGCTTTTATAAGGCAATGGCTGCAGACAATTTCACTGGAAGGCAAACAGGTAAGATTTGCCTGCCAACCCACCCAACTCTCTAGAATACTCCTTCCCCCTCCTCCCCCACCCCAAAAGCAGATGGGCTCACTTATAACCAAAGAACTGAGGTATGATTATCCGCCATTTTATTTTTTCATGGAACTTGAAGACTTCTCAACAGCATTGCTGGAAGTAAAGATTATGCTAAAGTTTGGTTCATTGCTTTGCAACCCGCCTATTTAAATCCTTACTTCTCATTAAAAGAGTCTTTAAAAAGGCAGGCAGGCAGGCAAGGCAGGAAGATGGGCAGGTATTCAAAGAGGCGTCACAGGGATTATTTTGTCTAATTCTTTCCCTACATTATCTCAGGATTATGTATTTCATTCTTGGAAGTGTCATAGGATCTTAATTGTTTTTATTGTTCCTTCATTTCCCATATTTTACCGCTTTTTAGATACTGAATATAAGATATTTCTGCTTTTCAAGTTGCTTCAGGGAGAGGCCCGTATAGTTTTCTTGGCCGTGTGTGAAAGTGGTTTGCTCTCTCTTTCTTCCAGATGGTTTTTTTCTGCTTCCCAGTATAGCTTGATGCCCTGGGAGCACCCAGCAGTCTCCTATCCAAGTGCTACCCACCTGTTATGCCATTGCACAAGAAGTTTATTTGAAGTTCTATTTGTATTCACTGTACAAAGTGTTGTAGACTGTTATTCAGTGATGCCATATTTTGTTTTACATCGGGCCAGGATTCCCAACTTTCATGATGGAAATCCTATTAGGCAGAATTCACGTCAAACTATTAATAGAGCTCTGAGACCCCAAACACTTCCTAGTAGAAACTTCTGGAGAACATCAGGAGGCACAATATGCTTTTCTGTTTGTAGGAGGCTGCAGTTTCCAGTAGATTTTTAAGATGCCTAGCAGGACAAATTATTTTAGAGTTGAGTTTACAGTTCTAAACTAAAACTCTTAAATTGGCAAAATAGATAAGCATTTGTATTTGCGATATTCTTTATATATATAGGCAGGTTTGTTATTCTGAATGTACTGTTCCTCTGCATGTGTTCATTTAGTTATTTTCTCAGTTCTCAACTATAAACAGCTCTTATTTCTGACCCAAAGAGAGTTAGTATGCCCCAATTTTGGTTAAAAAAAATTTGGTAAAAGAAGTGACAAGCAGAATGGATCTGGAATGATTAAATTTCTAAAACAAAAAATAGGCCTTCCAGATAACTCAACTCATTCTAGGACTAGAAGGTTATCTGCATCACTCAGCAATATAATAGATGGTTTGGCAGGTATTAAAAAGAAAAAGATGCTGACATCCCTTCTTACAATATGCCAGTTCTCAAAAGGTACTGATTAGCCACATGGCCTCCAAGCTTGTGTGTGTGTGTGTGTGTGTGTGTGTGTGTTCCAATTATTTTCTTATATCTGCACTACCAAAAGAGTAAGGAAAAGAAAATGAGGAATTCAGTGAAAGAAGGCTTACTTTCACTCATAGGAATTATCCTGTATTTCCAAATTAAGTGGAGGAAAAACTAACCTATTTGGCTCCCAAAAGACTTCACAAATAGAATACCTGTATATGAAAGGCTGCAGGCAGGGTCCAAATCTCCAATTCACAAAAGGAGCTATACAACTTTATAGCAACTGTGGGGATGGGGGCGGAAGGTCACATTTTCTGCATGCAAAGAGTATTATTTAGCTATTAATTGTCTCTGTCTCTCTCTATTTATAATTCACTCTTAAAGCTGACATCTGCCAGAGCATAGAACAACTCAAAGAAGTTTGAAAGATGTGGAGAGACCGGGTCCATGGTATCGCCAGAAGTCGGATACGACTGAATGAATAAGTTCATCCTATTTATTTCTATTATATTGTACTGAAAGCTGCCCGTAGTCAGTTTCATTGCCAAAATGGGTGGTATGTACATTTAATTAATTAATAAACAAACAAATAAAGTGTCTCTTCTTTCATACTATATACAACCAATTTTCTTTTTTGAAGCCCATTTACCTGATCACCCTTATAAAGAGCCTGAAGTGGATTTCGACCAGATTTCCCGTGCCAGCTACTCTTCAGTATCCTGTCTTCTGCAGCTGGAAAGGAAAAATGGGGAGGGGGAGAGTTTTTTAAAAGACTTGGCAAAGATTCTGTTTTGTGGAAAGTACAGGGTTAGTCATACTTAGAGAAGGAATACAAAAATTAAGGATGGGAAGAACATTCATTTAAATTAGGCTATTGTTGCACAATCACCCTGTCCTCATGATGGAACTTTACCAAATATCTAAATGACATCATCTGCGTTTTGTGACTGTCCTGTCTTCATCCTCAAAGACGCATTAGGGAAAAAGAGGGAAAAAGACAGAATAGCTGCATGGTATCTTTAGATTGCTGAGATTAAGGAAAATCCACAGGAAGCACCAAAGTGGGAAAATTCCCAAAGAGCACTTGTTAAACAGAATGGTTATATGTGCAGTTTTAGTTGATCTAATGATAGGACTATCTCACTTATTCTCTGCCTTGTTTCTCTCCAAAAACTAATTATAAAGAATAGTTAGGTTTTGCTTTTTCAATTATAATTTTATCTTTGCAAGTTCAGTTTTCAGTAAAAAGTATTATATGATTCCCTAAAGAGAAAGTTCTGGGTACATTGTTGCCAAATATCTTTGAATTTTTCCATAGTTAAAATAATTTTTCCACTCTACATTAGTAGCCTTCTCCCTTAATTATAATCTTTCTGGTTGCCTCTGGTAACCAGCCTTCAAGGTCTCCTGTTATCATGTTTTTCTTTCATTCAGCACATTTTCCCAGGGAAATTTATTCTATATTTTAGTAAGATTTTAAATGGACTACAGGAACTATTCTTATGTTTTTCAAAATCTTACTTCCAGTCAATCTTATGCTATTTAAGAGCTTTCAAAATCAACATTCTAATTACTCTAATTACTGTTTGTCGCTTATTTCCAAATAAAAAGTTTTTCTTTAAGTTTTAAACTTACATAAAGCTTCTTTAGCTGCAGGTTGAAGAAAAATCACCCAGTGTAATGAAATTTAAAGAAATTATAACTGTCCTTGCTGTCAGTGCTATAAAATCTAAAATTTGCTAGAGACCACTGATCTCACCACAGAGTGGATCTTTGAGGAGTACTTTGAGTGATCCTAAGTCCTCTTCTTCATCTGGACAGGAGTCTGGCAGCTAATTCATTCACCAGCTCTATTTCCACTACTGTCATCTACTCTGCTTCCCTGAAATCCAAGAATAGTTACGTTTTTTCTAAATTTGCTTATTTTTGTTCAATTTTTATTTACTTTACAGAGCATTTCTCTCTAATAAATATTTATATTTATATAAATAAATATATATTTATCACTAATAAATATCGCTGTAAATATTTACTGACCCCTCACATCCTGGACATAAACGGTTTCAACTCCTACCCTCAAAATGATGCTATAAAGCCATGATAGCGTGCCATTTGTGCCAGCACACGAGCTGCAGGCAAAGTTACCTCACTGCACATGCGCATATCTCACAGCTGATTTTCGGCCGGTTTGAGGTCTTTTTCAGCCTCCCAAAGGCTTGAGGAAGGCTTCTGCAGGCTGAAAACTAGCCCTGTTTTGTCACTTCCTGTTTTTCCGAAAATACCGGAACTGATGAAACGGGGCTAGTTTTCGGCCTGCAAAGTCCGCAGAAGCCTTCCTCAAGCCTTTGGGAGGCCTTCTTTGGCCTCAAACCAGCCAAAAATCAGCTGTGAGGTGCAGTGCAGGTAAGGGGGCAGTGGGGGTGGGTGGGGATTGTGCGCACATGCATAGGGGGCATGGGGGGTGCACATTGCCTTCTGAGTGCTGCCACGCGAGCATGAGCGTGCAAGCGTATGCACAATTTTTGGCACAGGAGCCCAAAAAGGTTAGCCACCACTGCTATAGAGCACTCCACACCAGAACAACAAGACACAAGGACAGTTTTTTCCCAAACCCCATCACTCTGCTAAACAAATAATTCCCTCAACACTGTCAAACTGTTTAGAAAGTCTGCATTACTATTACTATTAATCCTCCCTTCCTTTCACCCATATCCTCCCACTTATGACTGTATGACTATAACCTTGTTGCTTGTATCCTAACCATTTTTATTAACTGTTTCCTAGTATGATTTGATTGCTTATTGTACCCTATGACTATTATTATTAATTAGTATTAATGACTACTATTGTACCTTATGATTCTTGACAAATGTATCTTTTCTTTTATGTACATTGAGAGCATATGCACCAAAGACAAATTCCTTGGGTGTCCAATCACATTTGGCCAATAAAGACTTCAATTCAATTCAATTCAATTCAATTCAATTCTATTCTATTTACTGAAGGGCTTCATGAGCCCCAAATGACTCTGAGAGGAGAAGGGGTGGGCTGAAGACAGTTATGTGAAAAGCAGAGCCAATGATCATGGCGGAATGAAGAGGCAGTGAGTAGACTGGTTCTTCAATTATTTTTCTCTGGACAAGGAGAGGACTTGAGATCATCTCCAACTGCTCCAGACAGTTGCTTCTCTGGCAGGCATAGAATCCTGGAAAATCAGGAAATTGCCATCTTGCTCAAAATGTAGTTGGTGCCTTTGAAAGGACATTGAGTTTGTATACTTCCTTTTCTAATCACATCCAGAAATTGCTTCTCAACTGCTTTTCAGCTATTGAAAACATTTAGATTTTAGACCCTAACCCTAAGTCTGACAGCACCGGTTGATTTCTTTCAATCCTTAGCAAAAACAAAAGTTTTAACTATAAATTTAAGAATTTTGAAAAAAAAAATAAACAGCAAAAGTGTGACTAAAGCCTTTGATTTTAGAAAGTTACAAGTACATTTGAAATAAGATTTTGGAATGAATTGTAAGCAACCTTTCCCTTGGGAAAATGGTTTTGTTTTACATTTTAAAAAACCCATAATAATTGGTTTTAGAAACAATGGAACTGGTGAATGAATAGAGGGAACCAGAGAGAACTAAAGATTACAATTAAAAGAGAAGAAAGACAAAACTGGGAGAGAAGAGTTCTATGGTGTAATGGGGCTCTTTAATTTGACATGAGCTGCTGATCAATGAGTTCTGGAAACTCAGAATATTTAGGAACACTGTTTGTGCCTCATTCCTCTATTAGAATTTATCCAGGTAGTTTGCTTAGAGTAAGAGATAGCAATACACTCAAGATTTATTCTGCTCTACTTGAAAACACCACTTGAAAATGGTCTGGTCTTTCTTGTCTGATATTTTCTATTGCGTGATTTTTTCCCCCAAATTATGACTTTACTTTCCTTAACTCTCAATCCATATGTCTAACTTCTGGCTGAGGTTCCTTTAGTCTCTGCATCCAGTTTTTCTGCATCTAAAAACACTGTTAAAAACTCAACATCTTGTTTTCTTTCTGCTATTTATCTCCCTCTGTCTTGTTCTGCAAGTGCCTAAGAAAATGTACTTGTTATACAGTTTAATACAATGTACAGTTAGTCCTCAACGTATGACAATTGAGCACAAAATTTCTGTTGTTAAGTAAGACATTTGTTAAGTGAGTTTTGCCCTATTTTATGACCTTTCTTGCCACAGTTGCTAAGTGAATCACTGCAGTTGATATGTTAGAACACAGCTTCCCCACTGATTTTGCTTGTTAAAAGGTTGGAAAAGGTGATCACACAACCTTGGGACACAGCAACAGTCATAAGTATGAACCAGTTGCCAAGCAACTGAATTTTGATCATATGATCATGGGGCTGCTACAAAGGTCGTAAGTGTGAAAAATAGTCATACGTTACTTTTTTCAGCGCTGTTGTAACACTAACAGTCACTAAATTAACTGTTGTAAGTCAAGGACTATCTATCTCACAGCATAGTATGTGCAAAATGATTGAAAAATGAAAAGTGTGTGGAACTGTTGTACAAGCAACATACCACATCTTCACACGTTCCTTTGATAAATAAGTCAAACTAATAGCCTCAAAAGCCAAGCAGATCAGAGGATGGTGCTATTTACTAAGAGTTTCTTTTTTTGAAACCGTTTTCTTAACATTGTTATTTCTTTTTCAATTGAAGTATAACATTTTCTGAATTAATTCGGCACAGCTTCTCTGTAGGATCCATGCTGAACAATTCAGAAGGTTCCTCTGCTCTCTTTTCTTTACTCTTGCTATTCTCTTTTAAGGCAGGGAAATCTCCTGTATGCTGAAACTTTTCATGGTTACAATTCAATAAGTGGCAGCTTCCAGGAATAATTGCCCAACCCATTGCATTTGTTCTTCCAACGAAGTGATGTTGTTGTGCAACGTCTTTCTAAGAGTCTGTTCAAACCACAAGAAACCATCTGACTCCTTTGTGTCCCACTTTGAAGCTTTGGACCTGCTGTGTCAATGGCTTGCATTGGAAAAGAGACATCTTTTAAGGCAGCTCCACCAAAAAGATTTCAAGAATTGCTCCTATAAATACTATGAGGATAGGGTTTTTCACTAAAAATGTAATGTGTCAGTTTTAGTCTTTTACCCCAAACATATTGATACCTGTTATCCATTATAGAATCTGTGGCATTTATCCAGTTCTGTGCTCCCTTTCCTCAGGAGTACCATGATAATAATAGAACCAACTAGATCTAGGCTGCAAAAGATCTAGATGACCATTAAATGAAAGCAAAGATCTAATTTGCTACTCATCCATTTTTTGCAACTCAGGGATGATGGCCCTAATAATAATATTAGAATAGATCTGGCTTTGACATATCTCTTCATAACTGCCTCTGTTAGCACCATTTTTTGTGGAAATATTATACTCAAGGAAAGTAGACCTCAAGATTTGGGAAACCCTATCCATAGAGACTGTTGATGAACACCTGGAAACTGCAACTTTCTTACTACTGTATAGCTGTTAAGGAAAGAGGAAACAAAGATTGGTCACAAGGGCTTCCATCAGCCTCAGAGACTAGCAGAAAAGGAACTTAGCTCAACCACATAATCCAAAAAAGTTAGCTTAATCTATTCCTCGTGTGTCACCGAAGAGCTGATGAAGCAAGCTACTTCAACAGGAACTGTTAATTGGGGCAAGCAACGAATCTGCTCAC